ATTGTGGTAAATATACATAACACGAAATTCACCATTGGTGACATTTAGTACGTTCACAAGGTTGTGCAACCATCACCACTATATAGTTCCAGAACATTTTCATCATGCCAAAAAGAAACCCACAGTAGCCAAAAGATAGAAGCAGCCAGATGTCCATTACCAATGAGTGAGTAGACAATCTGTTTTTAAGGTACTTTTACAAAGACTAATTGACACATACCATGCAAATTGTATTGTATTGTATTGTATTGTATTGTATTGTAGGAAATTGTATTCATTACTAGTTTATCTCCAGGGCTGATTCCCTCCTGACCTTTAATAAGTATTGATGACCCAGTGGCCCACAAAATGCAAACTCATGTACAAAACTAAATTCACCATCTTTCTCCAAAGTATATGTTCCAGCCACACCCTCATTACCTGAAATTAGTACTGAAATTAAAGCTGAGACATGTGGACACAAGGGTTCATGTATGTCTGTGAATTTGTATGTGTCAGGAGGCAAAGAGGTACAGCTGTCCCTGTTCTCTCAGCTGTTCCTTCCCTGTGACCACCAGCCTCAGTCCATCTCTGAATTCTGATAATGTGGCGTTGGTTCCATAGCAGCATTAGTGCACACATGCTCTGCATCTGGTCATGTTGATGATCTAGAACCAATAATTCACTTTGGGTTCTTTGATAGGGTTATGGAAAGACCACAGTTCCACCCACTTCATCCATTCACTGATGCTTCAATAGACAGCCACATTTTCACCCTGGGGAATCACAGGGCATGGAGTAGCCCAGATGGTGGGCTTCAGGGGTGTTCCTGGAGGAAAATAAGAGCCGAAGGTCATGGAAGCCTGACCCCTGCACCACTTCCGCTACCTCCAAGCCTCACCTACAGGCTCCTCCCAGGCTAAGCCACACTCCTTTCCCTCCCCAGCTATCCCAGAAGAGTAGGCTATTTGTGTGGGCCCCAGTAAGAGAGTCTGGGGAAGAACTCACTCTCCTATGCCAAGATCCTCTGGCTCAGCCGCAGCTCTAGAAGAAAGACTTCAGTGAGGGACGTCTATTTTCATGAACCCCAATCCCAGACCAGGTCCTGGACCCAAAAACAATTTTCATGGTGACCACATCCCTCCCTCTCTTGCTTATTCCCTGAGTCCTGGCCCAGGCTTCTCCATTCTAACAACTCACTGAGAAAGAGTAGAGCAGACAGTGTGAATGCCATGGTACTCTATCAGCCTGTGCTGAGCTCAGCGCCACTACTGTGCAAGTGAAAACAAGAAGTAAAGTCAGAAGACAGGAAGTGAAGTGAAAAGACAGGAAGTGAAGTCAAAAGACAGGAAGTAAAATCAGAAGACAGGAAGTAAAGTCAGAAGATAGAAAGTGAAGTCAGGAGACAAGAAGTGAAGTCAGAAGACAGGATGTGGTGGCAGAAACATGTCCATACCTTCCTCCCTTTCCCTCCTCAGCCCCCACCAGACATGTAGCATCAAATATGACATTTGAGTAACTGTGCACAGCTCAGATGCCCACACCTCCTCCTGCCCCTGTTCCTTGAACATGAGATACCACTCCTCTTCACTTTCTTCTTTTGCTCTTTTCCTTCATTTTTGGAGATAGAATCCCAGATTGAATGGCTAGATTATTGTGGAAAGTGGTTGATCAAGGTAGATTAAAGAACCACCTCATTCTTTAATTTTGTTGTTGTTGTTTTTATCTTTTTTTGTGGTATGATTAACAAAACTATACATATTTAATGTTTACATCTTGAGTTTGAAGATAAGTATACTCTTGTAAAACCATCACCATAAACAATGCCATAACATAACCATCACCTGTGAAAGTTTCTTCCCTCTCTTTTTTTGTTGATAAGAACATTTAACGTAATATCTACCCTCTTAACAAATTTTTAAGTACATAATACAATATTGTTAACTATATACACTATGCTGTACAGTAGACATCTAGGACTTATACTTCTTGCACAACTCAAGCTATGTGCCCTTTGACCAACATCTCCTCCATTCCCCTTCCCCTTAGCCCCTGGTAGCCACCACCCTACTCTCTGTTTCTGAGTTTGACTATTTTAGATTCCTGATATAAGTGGGATCATGTAGTATCCAAATTATCCACATTCTGGTGTACTTGTCTGAGTTCCTCAAGGTTTTAAGATTGGAGTAGGATTCCTCTCCCCCAGCATCAGGTCCAGGCATAGAATTTGGTGGTGAAAAGTGGAGATATCATTCTAACCTATTAAAAATAAACCTATTTTTTTTCTCTAGAAAATCCCATGACCAACCCCAGAATATCCTCATGGCCCATCTTTAAGATGGCCCCTGGGGAAAAGTTATCTTCCAAGGTCAGCATCTGAGGTTCACTTTAAGAGGATCTGGAACCCCATGTGTGTACAAGAGTCATATCCATGGAGGAACCAGGCTGGATTTCATCTAAAGACTGTGAGTGTCAGTAACAGAGAGGCTTCAATTTAGCAGGAGGGGACAGCCCCTAACAGGTTGCTGGAGCCTGGTAACAGGGAAAGGAAAGCTTTTCTGACATATCCCACATAGTTCCTGTCGGGGGAAGAGGAAGAATCTCCCTCTGCCCTTTTCCTTAAGGTTCTTATGGCTGGCCAAATAATTAACAAGACAGGTTAGCAGGAGAAAATAATACCAAGTTTAATAACATGTATACATGGGA